AAAGGAGATGTCAGGCTTCCCAAATTCATCCTCAAATTCTTTTTTTTATGTTTACTTTTCTATTTCTTTCTCCTCTCTGGGAGACTTCCTCAACTTCACGTCCCAAATGTCACTTTATATCTTTAAAAACCTTTCATATTTTTCAATTTCAAGACTTTCCTCTTTTCTTTTTGTCTCTCTCTCCCTGATATCATTCATGTTCCTGTTTCAGGGATGTTACTTTTTGAGGCTGATACTCATTTGCTTGTCAAGCTTTCTTGTTTCTCTACATTGACTGTTTTCCTTCTGTTTCCTTTGTTTTGGGCTCTGAATCAATCTTCTGGTGTTCCTTTCACCTTTCTCTGCTTATGCTAGTGTTCAGCCTATACCATCCTCCCAGTTGACATTCAACCCAAATTTTAAGGTGGAGCTAAAACGGTACCTTCTTCACAGGACCTTCCTTCTTTTCTCTCTTCTCTAAAACCTCATGCCACTTTGCTTGTATCTCTCTGGAGTGGCTTATATGCTGTATGTATGTTTATTAATATATGTGCTTTATTCCTGTGATTAAAGCATGGCCTTTTCACCTTTGCAGTCTTCACAAGCATAAAATAGAAAGTTACCTGCAACTCACAATTATTGAATGAATTATGTGTTTTAGTGTGACCCAAAGAGACTCCAGAGAAGTTGAACTGACTTACCATTTTCTCAATCTTTGGGCCCCCAGACCCAGCAGGGGTTCCTATGTAATCTTTTGCTACCTCTTAATTCTTGATAATTGTAGCAACACTGTAAATGCCACCTAAGTCTGAACTTGGATAACCTTCTCCTTTGTTACTATGTTCAACCAGCCATCAAATTACTGATCTATCTTCTGATCTATCTTTCTTTCTTTTTCTTTCAAGATTCTATTCATTTATCTGAGAGAAAGAAAGCATGAGCAGGGGGAAGGGGAGGCACAGAGGGAGAAGCAGGCTCCCTGATAAGCAGGCAGAACTTGAACCCAGGACCCAGGATTGTGACTTGAGCTGAAGGCAGATGCTTAACCAACTGAGCCACTCAGCTGCCCTGTCTATTGATTTCTGATTAGAATTTTCTTTTCCTTCTTCTCTCTCTACCATTTCTTCTATTATTCTGGTTAATGTCATTTTATTGTCTTAATACCTAATAACTTATAGTAAATTCTTCCTGGTTTACCTAATACTATTCCTAGCTCTAGCTTATCCTATATATAATGGGGACCATAATAATAATAATTGAGTTAATAAATTGGTAACGAGAAATAGGTCCATGTATATTGGACCTATTTTGTATATGTGCCCACTGTACCTTTGGAGAATCACCTTCTGCCCACGTCCTCTGGTTCTAGTAGTGGACAATGGCCAGACTTCATTAAAGTATCATGTCTTTCTAGTCATAGCTATCCATTCAGGCTGGCTGAGAGACTGCTGGAGACAATATCCTGATGACATAATCTAAGTCTTTTGGCTTTGCCTAAAGCCAGATATACTCTTGGACTTTCTGATTATGTGAGTCAATAGATTTCCTTTATTAAAAGAATTTTAGTTTGTTTTCTAAGTGCAACAAAGATTTTTGATAATCTGGTATGTAAAGCACTTAGCATACTACTTTGCATATAAGTATTAGGTGTTGTTTTTATTATCCTTATACCCTTGCCATATCCTATATCCAATTCAACCTTTTCTTAACATCTGCCCATATAGACCAATAATTTCCTTATTATTCCCTGCATATTGTTCCTTTGCCTGGGCTGCCCCGCCACCAACCTAATAATGTCATTCTACACTCTTTTTGCCAATTCACATCCATCATTATTTAGAATCTGGCTTTGAAAAAAGCCTCCCATCTTCCATTTGAATAATGGTAGCTCCAAATTGTTCACTGTCTTATCTAATTTCTCCTGCATGTGTTTTCTAGTTATTTCTAGTTTGCTTCTTGAGTGTACATTACTCAAGGCAAGGAAAAATATGATCACTGGGACCTTTTAAGGTTGAGATTTTGTCATTATTTTCCAAAGCAACTTGCCCAGGGTTGGACACACAGTAGGTGTTCAATGAGTGTCTGCTATAGGAATAAATGAATGGAATTAAATTTAGAAGGTGTGATAGTCAATTTAAAGCCAGTTGTTAGCCTAAACTTTTTCCTTTTTCTAAGCAAACATTATATTCTTAATCCAATTTCATTATGGCATAAAACTATCACAATGATTCCAACCTCAAACATTCTTCCCATTTATGGTTTCATACTTCTTTTGGCCAAGGTCTAAGGAAGGAATATTCTTTTAAAGATAATGTAACAATCAATCAAAACCTTTTTTCTCTTGTCGTACATATTTTATTAATCCAGTAGTATTGCATCTGACCCTTCAGAGGTTTCTTGCCTTGGTAAACTAATGATAATAATAAAGCATTGAAAAAGATATTCTGAGATGCTGAAAAAAAAAATTGAGGGGGATAAATTTTATATTTTCGTTTCCTTTTTTTGATCTAAATGGTAAAATATGCTTCTACTCCAAATAAATTAGTTTCTACTAAAAAACACAAAATTTGGAAAACTACTATTCGTAAACAAAGGTCTGTGCCTGTGTTAGTTGAACTTAATTGCTATATGGGTTAATGGAAGGGTTGAGGGCTAGTGAATTTAAATTCTTTAAAATAGCTAAAGATTCAAGTTAATTAAATTTAGTACCTCTGGGATTTTTGATACACATTCCAAATTTGTTTTTAATGACATAACTGTCCCATGTCACATTTAAGATTACATCATTGTAAACTGGTTATGTGTGGAGTTACACTAACAGAAACCAATCCCAGATGTCAAAAATAAGTAAATAAAAAAAGTAAAAAATAAATGTCAAAAAACAAATTACAGTTGTTGTCAACAACTGTAATGTTACCATTAAGAAAGTAGAAGTTGCAAATAGAAGAGAAACACTCCTTTGAATAAGGTCTTACTATGAAAACTTCGAATAGAAAGACCTGGAAATTCAATGTATTAACTTCATGCTTTTTCAAGAGCATTTAAATCATTCTTTTTTACTTACTCTTGCAAGTGAAAACCAATGCATTTTCCCCAGGTATCTTATTCATTAAGTTTAGTGGGAAAAGATAGCTCCCAATCACACAAATGGGAGCTGTGCTAAATAAATTCTGTGAACACTTACCAAGAAATAAGAATTATTAGTCATATGTATAAATGGATGTAGCTCATATTTTAAAAGAACAAGAAATGAAATTCAGTATTCTTGTTTCTTTTAGTTTTCAGCCCCCCCCCCTTAACTAACAGTAATTGTAGTAGTATCTTGCCTCTGGGGCTTTCCCTTCCACAATTAATCATCTTGATACTATCTACACCTTCCCTCCAAATGATTATTCCCCCTAGCTTTAGAACACTTGACATTAATTCATACTCCTCCATCATCACAGTTTTCAAAACATTGCCCTGCCCTTGCTTAGCTCCACAAGACACTCCCTTTTCTTTCAGAAAATTGGCTAACAGAAGAATTTTTGCTATCACTCTGTTTTCACTTTTACAAGGTGCTACTGTGTAATTGGAAAAACATCTTTGTAATACCAATTAGATTCCTTACTTTCATCAAATTTTCAAATTCAAAACACATTTTTTTAAATTCCTAGGGTAATGAACATCTATACTTCAAAAGTAGCAATACGTTTAAACATTGGGAAGACTTGCATCCTAAGACTATCTTTCATCCTCTGACTCTAGAACCAGTGTCCTTGATCATCAGAACCAAGCAAGAAATTGTGAGAAGCCTCACCAAGCTACACCACCAGCGCGGGCAGAGGAAACGCTTTCAAAATATGTCATTCATCTTCACATTTAAAGGCAGTCTATCCATACATCTTTTACACACATCATTAAATATTGGTACTTAAGACTTCAGTCATATGAGGTAAGCTTTCTGATTTATAGGCGAAAGGGGGGGGTGGCAATGTCGTCTCCTCTTCTTAAATTTACTTTTCGTGACAAAGCCAGTCTGATTACATCTGAAAGTCTGAAGTTGCCATTTGTCAAGTCTTTTAGAAAGCCGCTTATTGCATTAAATTAACCGATTCCTAGCCAAATCAGGTTTTAGGAGAGAGTGTTTCCCATGTCTACAATGACAAACGAGTTACCAGACGTCCTTAAGTAGACTGTCAAACTTTTATGTTTACTCTTTTTAAACACATAAGGGAGAGAATGGCACATAAAGAAAAGTCAGGTCTGTTTCTTAAGAAGGATATCCTACGGGGAACAAGACGCTCACCTGTACACAACAGAGGGTCTTTTCCTGCTGTCCTCACTGGGGGAGGGGATGGACATCGCTAGACCTTTGTCCTCCGGACCAGAGCACGGCCGGGGAGGAAGGGCGACTTTCTGGGAGTAGTGCAAGCACCTGCACTTCAAGAAACTACAGGCCGGTTTTGACTCCAAAGACTGCCCTGGCTTAACCTCTGGAGGAGCCCACTAGCTCGGGGAGGGGGTTTGTTGCCCCAAACCGTAGTCACCTCTCCGCAGGGATTGGGGGAGGGGACGACTGAGCACTCTAAAGAGTTAGGGAATCCCCGTCTTTCCCAAGCAGACCCCAACGTCCCCCGCTCTCTTGTGGGGTTCGCCCGCGGCGAAGGCTGGGCTGGGGTGAGCCTTGGCCGCGGCGGGGGCAGACCCGGTGCCTGCTCGGCGCCCCTGCCGCGTCCGCACCGCCACCGTGAGGCCAAGCCGGGGACGGTGCCCCGTGGCGGCGGCAGCTCCGCGCTCCTCTCCGCGCCGCCCCGGCCGCCGCCGCGCCGGGGACGGGCGGGGGGATTTTCTTCCCGTTCCCCTCTCTTTCGCGCTCTCGCTCGTGTTCAGCGGGAGAGCCCGCGGAGCCAGGGAGGGAGCGAGGGAAGGGGTGGAGGTGGCGGGGGGGAGGCCGGAGGGGCGGATCCTGCCTGGGGGCTGATCCCTCCCTCCCCTCGGCCGGGCTCCGTGGCGGCAGCGGCGGCGGCAGCGGCTTCATTCCCCCTCCTCCCCCGGGAGCGGCGGCGGCAGCCGGGCCGGGGCCCCAGCGCGGGCCAGGAGGGGGCACGGCGGTGGCCGCGGAGGCCAGCGCGGGAGGAGGTCGCGCTCTGCTCCCCGGGCCGCGCCGACCTGCTCGACGGCCGGCCCGCCCGCGCCCAGGGGCCCCGAACGGTGGGGCCGGGCCGGCGGCTGAGGTAATGGGGGTGGCAGCGGGGCCGGACAGAGCGAGGGCGGGGGCAGCGGGGCCTACGGGGACCAGGGATTGCGCGGGTGGGGGAGCGGGGAGAGGGAAGCAGGGGGCTTCCCGAGCGGGGCGGGGGCGGCGCGAAAGCGCTCTCCTGGAGCGAGGGCGGCGGCGGGGAAGAAGAAGGCGGGTGTGGGGGGAGCTGAAAAGCGAGGACCCCCTCCCGCAGCCGCCATCTTGTTTCCCTCCCCCCCGGCCCTGGCTGGCGAGCCGCCGAGCCCCGCCCCCGCCATGTTCTCCGATTGGTCAGACCAGAGGAGTGTTCCACCCCCTGAGCGTCCCTTGCCCCCCTGGTTCCTCCTGACGGGCAGGTGAGGCGACCAATGGGCGCCCGCCTCTCTGCCCCGCTGGTTCGCTGGCGCTAGCTTTCTCTGTCTGAGGGTCGGACTCCGCGTCAGTCTGTCTCTGGCGCTCTCGCCCCCTCCCCTCAGGGGTGGAGATGTTATTTCCCTCCTTTCTCCTCGGAAGGGTCAAGATTCTTCTGGAAGAGGTGCCCTTTTAAAGGAGCAAGAGCCTTGGATGGGGTTCTCCCCTGTCTCATGAGCCTTTCGTGGGGGTGCAGGGGATACAGCCTAATTGCAAAACTCCTCGTTCTTCGGGGACCTGGGTGGGGTGGGCGAGTGGGGGCTTAGGGGTGCTGAGGAGACCCGGGGGTTTTGGGGGTTTCGGAGGTGTTTGTGGGAACGGCTGTGTGGGTTGAGAAACTCCCGCCAAAAAACTGGACTGTAAGCTCCTTGTGGGCGAAACTCATTTCCTCAGCAGGAGCCCTTCCCTCTCCAGAATTTGCCCCTCCAGTGCTTAAGAGGTTGGGGTAGGACCCAAGAGGTTTTCCACAGATACTTGCTGCCTGGATGAGGGCTAACCCAGGCTGCCAAGGAGGTAGCAGGTAGGGAGGAAGAATATACAGCGCTTTAACAAAGGAGGCTCCATACCTTCTGTCTAAACTATTTCCAGTTAGTGTTGAGGTAGATTTTCATACCTTTGCAAGGATCTCCCTTCCCACGAGGGGAGGGCGGGGAGGGCGTGGGGACAATGAAGCAGGTCTTTTGGCTGGGGCTACCCCCAGGGAGTTGACATTTGTCAGGCATATATAGTGGCCAAGGGCCTCTGGAACCTGGACGGAATTGCTGTGATGATTCTGTTGCCTTTTGTCCTCGTTGGGGTGTGTGCCTGCCTGGCACTGTTCCTCAGCCAAGTTGTGTTTTGTTTCAGTCACACTTTGGGATTGGAAAGCCTTTTAAATAAGGATGTTAATAAACCTTATTAGCGTATGGCAACCCCTAAGAGGTAGATTTTATTCTCATTTTATTGGTGGAGTCTGGAGGCACAGAGAGATTAAGTGACTTTCTCCAGGTCACACAGGGCCAAGATTAGCACCTGGAGTGCCCCAGAGCCTCATTTTGTTCTAGACCATGGCATCTCTGTGGTGTTCTTCCCAGTGAAATGAGTTCAACACATCATCTCGGTTTGAATTGTAGCTTTATCACTCAACTACCTTTGGGTTGAGTGACACCTCTCTGAGCTTGTTTCTTCACCTGTAAAATGGAGATGATAAAAGCTATTCTGCCTCCCAAACTAGTGGAGAGAAATTTTAAAAGTAAAAGGGATTGGGCCACCTGGCTGACTCAGTTGGTGGAGCATGCAACTCTTGATCTCGGAGTTGAGTTCGAGCCCCACAGTGTGGGTAGAGATTACTTAGAAATTTAAAAAAAAAAAAAAAAGTGTCTTTTAAAAAAAGTAAAAGGGATTTATAGTTTGCAAAAGTGTGCTAAATTATCATCATCTCTTCTTCATAGATAAAAATGGTAGGTCCTACAACCAAGGAGACAAACTCTTTTTCTCTTTGAAATCCTCTCACTGTGCGTACCTTTCCAAGTCTCTGCCCACACCTTGGGGCACCATATCCCCTAATGTCTTTCCTGGTAGTGATGGCCTCAGTAACTGCTACCACAGCTCCTTACGGGCTTGTCATAGTTCCCTTTACCCAAAGAGTGATGTGGGAAACTTTAGGGCTTTATCCTTGCTACATAAGAGTAGATTAGATGTAAGGATTTGGGGAGAGAGGAATTTTTGAGGTAACAGAATGCTTTGAGAGTTTACCTCAGGTGTATTCCCAGTCATGTTGGCTGTAGGTCCAGTGAGGGTCCCAGATAGGCCACTTAAAACTCAGTGCCACTTGGGGCCACTCCCAGAGTTTCCAGTGTTTCTGCTTAGAGATGTACTAGCCAGTACATCCTCAATGCTGTGATTTCCAGAGAAAACCCTGCATACTGTAGTTTGAAGTCTTTAGATTCCACATGGGAGACATTTCAGGTACCTTTGCCTCTTCACTTCTGGGTGTGGTCAGGAGATAGGGTTTTTTGATCATTGTAAGATGGGTTGGGAGAGGCTCTAGACCTATGAGCTTTTGATCCTATGATGGGGCCACTGGTCATGTACAGAACTTGCCAGTGCATATTATTCTTGTTTTCTTTTTTTCTGAGCCCTTGACCTCTCCTTCCTTTTCCATAGTTAGCTATCCTACAGCCTTATGTATATCGTTAGAACTTCAGATGTCTCCCCATGTTGTACTGTAATGATCTCTTTACTTTTCTGTCCCTTCAATTTGATGGAGCACCTGGAGGGCAGGGATCGGGCAGGCATGTTGCATTTCTTTCATGCAACTAATACTTATTGAGTGTTTACTTAAGAGCCAAGCACCATTCCAGGTCCTGGGGATACAGCAGTGAACAAGATAGACAAAAACATTTCCCCTCACGGAGCTTACTTTTTTTTAAAGATTTTATTTATTTGACAGAGAGAGATCACAAGTAGGCAGAGAGGCAGACAGAGAGAGAGAGAGAGAGAGGAGGAAGTAGGCTCCCTGCCTAGCAGAGAGCCCGATACAGGACTCCATCCCAGGACCCTAAGCTGAAGGCAGAGGCTTAACCCACTGAGACACCTAGGTGCCCCATGGAGCTTACATTTTTAATGGAAGGAAGCGAACATTCATGATAAATAGGCAAATAACATAGCATAATAAAAAATTGTGAGTGTTATAGTGAAAAGTAAAGCAGGATGAAAGAGGTTTGCAGTTTTAGGGAAGAGTGGTGGGAGAGGCTCTCAATGAGAAGCAGTGTTTGTTAAAAAAAAACCAAAAACTTGAAGGAGCAAGCTGTGTAGATGTCTGAGGGACAGGATGTTCAGACAGAGGGAAGAGACAGTCTTCTTTCTTGGTGGCCACTCAGGTGGAAGGGTAAATGAGTGCATGCCTGAACCTTCAGCCCAGTCACTGGTTTCTCCTTAGGCCTGTTCCCTTGGTTCCCAGGTGCCATGAGGAAGCCTCGCCGGAAGTCGCGGCAAAATGCCGAGGGCCGGCGCTCCCCATCCCCCTACAGTCTGAAGTGCTCGCCTACTCGGGAAACCTTGACATATGCCCAAGCCCAGCGGATTGTCGAGGTGGACATTGATGGACGCCTGCATCGAATCAGCATCTATGACCCACTCAAGATCATCACAGAGGATGAGCTGACCGCCCAGGATATCACTGAATGCAACAGCAACAAGGAGAACAGTGAGCAGCCTCAGTTCCCTGGCAAGTCCAAAAAACCCTCCTCCAAGGGCAAGAAAAAGGAGTCCTGTTCCAAGCATGCGTCCGGCACTTCCTTCCACCTCCCACAACCCAGCTTTCGCATGGTGGACTCAGGCAGCCAGCCAGAAGCCCCCCCGCTGCCTGCTGCCTATTACCGCTACATCGAGAAGCCACCCGAAGACCTGGATGCAGAGGTAGAGTATGACATGGATGAGGAGGACCTTGCTTGGCTGGACATGGTGAATGAGAAGCGGCGTGTAGATGGGCACAGTTTGGTGTCAGCAGACACCTTTGAGCTGCTGGTAGACCGGCTTGAGAAGGAGTCCTACTTGGAGAGTCGCAGCAGTGGGGCCCAGCAGTCGCTTATTGACGAAGACGCCTTTTGCTGTGTGTGTCTGGACGATGAATGCCACAACAGCAATGTCATTCTCTTCTGTGACATCTGCAACTTGGCTGTTCACCAGGAGTGCTATGGTGTCCCCTACATCCCCGAGGGCCAGTGGCTCTGCCGTTGCTGCCTGCAGTCTCCCTCCCGGCCTGTGGATTGCGTCCTCTGCCCCAATAAGGGTGGCGCCTTCAAACAGACCAGCGATGGGCACTGGGCACACGTGGTGTGTGCCATCTGGATCCCTGAAGTCTGCTTCGCTAACACCGTGTTCCTGGAGCCCATTGAGGGCATCGACAACATCCCACCTGCCCGCTGGAAACTCACCTGCTATATCTGCAAGCAGAAGGGGCTGGGGGCAGCCATCCAGTGCCATAAGGTAAACTGCTACACAGCCTTCCATGTGACATGTGCACAGCGGGCTGGGCTCTTCATGAAGATTGAGCCCATGCGTGAGACCAGCCTCAACGGCACCATCTTCACAGTACGCAAGACTGCCTACTGTGAGGCCCATTCGCCGCCAGGAGCTGCCACTGGTAGGAGGAAGGGCGACTCCCCTGGGAGCCTCAGTGAGACTGGGGATGAGGAAGGGCTGAAGGAAGGCTGTGGAGAGGAAGAAGAGAAGGAAGAGGTGGAAGAGGAGGAGGAAGATGAAGGCCAAGGTGGGGTGGGTGGCTCCCTTAAGGGGGTGCCCAAGAAGAATAAGATGACTTTGAAGCAGAAGATCAAGAAGGAGCCGGAGGAAGTGGGCCGAGATACGTCCTCCACTGTCCCCATGGTCACTGTCCCACAGATACCCTCTTATAGGTAAGCCTGCCCAGGAGGGCTCCCCGTGGACCGATGGTTTCTTCTTGGGCTGGTGTTGGTCCTGAGCCAGGACCTCATTCCCCAAGCATGGTTGGTGAACGTTTGTTCTCTTCTGTGCTGTCAAATTTAGACTTCTCCTTTGGACCCTGGTCTGGTTTGTGTTTTTGATTATGCCCTGAGAGCAATGTGTTTCATTTGCTTCAAGGTGAGACAGTCAGTTGCTTAGAAACCCAGGTGAAGGGTGTCTAAAACAGTATTTTTCAACAGGTGCACAAGTGGCATTTGGGACAGGACAATTCTTCATTATTAGGACAGTCCCATACTTTCTCAATGTTTAGCATCTCTGATCTTTGTAAGTGCCATTTGCGTCCCCTCCCTCATTGCATGGGCTTTGTGACAAACTCAGACACTCCCCGCATATGTTACCAAAAACCCCTGTGGGGATAGGACTGAGAACCACTGTTTTAGGGGGTCAGTATGGGTGTCTCTTGTCTGAAAGCTCTGTTCTGGGAATGATGGGGGCTTTATGTGAGGGGGTGGTGGTGTGGGGAAGACATGCTTATCTCTTCTTGAGAAGCTTTTAGATTTAGGGGAAAGAGGCTCATTCGATTTAGCTGTATAGCTAAGCCACCTTGCTCCCTACTGAGTCTATAGAGGGACCATTGTACCTATTTTTAACCATCAATGAAGTAGTTGCTAGAGGGCAGAAAAGCAAAAGACCAGAAAGATTTTCCAGTGGATGCTCATCTGAAGGGTGATATTCTTTAGAAAGTAAACAGTATTAGAACAGGAAGGTATCTTGGAGATTATTGATCTAATGTAGTCCTTGCACCTTCTCCCACACCCCCAGATGAAGAAACTGCTGCCACAGGAGGTAAAGTTGTTCACTCCTTTGTTCATTCAATGAGGTGTTTATTGAGCACTTACTATATGCCAAGTCCTGTTCAAAGGGCTGGAACCAGGTGGGAAGCATAGAACCTAACCACAGGCTGGGACTCATGATGCCTCCAGGCTCTGTTCCTGTTGCCTGTTTCTCTTGTTGAAAAGGATAGGGAAGAAAGTGTGCTGGAGGATAGCAGAGAATGAGTTGTTGTAAGGGGAGCACACACCCAGACTTGTCAGTCTGGGAAGGAGGCACAGGCGTGGAAAAGAGTAGGAGGGGAGAGGCTCTTGTGGCAATCCATGGCTGGAGTTAGAATTTAGTCAACTGGAACCGTCTTCTAGTCAAAGAACTGTTGTAGGCTACATTCTTCCCTGTTGTTGAGCCGGTCCGTGCTTAGTAACATCCTTAGGTTGGCTGTGCCCTGTGACTAGACTTTTTTTTTTTTGGTTGTCATGTGTGCTCTAATAGATGTATCTTGCAGGGGCCAGCATAGCACGCTGGCTAAGAAAAAACTAGACAGACCTGCTTTGAATGCTCCTGTTATTACCTGTGTGACCTTTGGCAGGTTACTTCTTTAAGCCTTATTTCTTTGTAAATGATAGGGTTGTTGTGAGAAATAAATGAAATGGTATAAGTAAAGCACTTAGCACAGTGCCTGGTAAATAGTAAGTGCTCAATAAACGGTGGCTACTGCTGCTGCTGCTGTTTTATTATTCTTTTCCCTACCTGCACAGATGCTGTGGGAACCCTCCATGGCCAAGAGGTTGTAGAGGGAGGGGACTGCCTGCATCTGGGCAGGTGTGCTTGGCATGGGCATTGGTGGGGGATCTGTTCTCTGGGGAAAGGCCTAGGCCTTGATTTCGTAAGCTTGGCTTTGGGGCAGGAATGTCTGACTGTGGAAGGGCGCAGGGCCTGGGTGAGCAATGTCCAGCCCACCATGCCCATCCTTAGCTTCTACTTTCTTGTTTAACCACAGTTATCTTCCTCTCAGTGGAGTGAGATGAAGAGAAAAAGTGGAGGAAACACAACAGGGGCACAGAGGCCTTGCTTCCTCTGTGGAGAGCCAACTTTGGGACACAGGATGCTATAGCAAAGAGATCATCGATTCACCTTCCATCCAGCTACTTCAGCTTCCTAGCTGCATTGGTGACTTTGACAATTCATCCAGCCTCTGTTCCTAAGCTGCCTTTCCATCTTTTGTTACCATGAGACTAATGTTACCAACCTTACAACAGGGCTGGTAGGATAAAGATTACAGGCTCTCATTAACTCCTACCCCTTTCACTCCCACCCTCTCCCACCACCACCCCCTGCCCCGCCGCCCCATGTATTATTGGCTTAAATCCTGACCTTATGACCTCTGTTGGGTTAGTTTAGCCAGCTAAGTTTTCAGATTCTCCATCCTCTTATCCAGTACTTTTTTTTTTCTTTTTGTTCAAAATTAAACCTTTTTAAGCTGCTGAGATCTTTCATGAAAAACCAGAGGTCAGACAGCTCCAAGATGTTACATCTGAGCTCAGAAAGCAGTAGCCTGGTGTACTTCTAGTAGTTTCCCTTCCAGCTTGCCTGTGGATTATTCCCTGATCTGGGGGGACCCTCATCCACAGGGCAGAGGAAGTAGTGACCACATTGCCCATGGTTTACTTAAGTTCCTGCTCTCTTTTGCTGCCTTTATCAAGAGTTCAGGGCACAGGCCTATTTCTCAGGATCCAGGACCGTAGGAAACAGGATTCCTGGGAAAGTGTTCTTTTGGAGAATCAGGACTATAAGGTAGGAGATGGAAAATCAAGTGATATATCTGTCTCATGCTGAATCTGAGCTGCTTAACTTTGCTGTCTTTTTTTAAGCCTTTCTCTGAGGTGAGGCATTTGGCCACTTTATTCTTCCTTTATATATAAGGTTCAGAAATGAAACAGGGTTTAAAAGGAGGCTGTAATCAGGGTTGCCCACTGACCTTGTCTTTCACTTCCCTGTGCCTCTACTCAAGGTTGAACAAGATCTGTAGTGGTCTCTCCTTTCAGAGGAAAAACCAATTCATACAGCGGCTTCACAACTACTGGCTACTGAAGCGGCAGGCACGGAATGGCGTCCCTCTCATCCGGCGCCTGCACTCCCACCTGCAGTCCCAAAGAAACGCCGAGCAGGTAGGTGAAGTGATCGAAGGGGTAGAGGAGGTGGAGTGTGAAGGTGGAGGAGGGATGGTTGGGGCACCCTCCCTGAGCCCTCTGCAGAGCCTTTGCCTGTAGGCGGTCACCCCTCCAGGTGGCATCTCCCAGGCATGACCTCCAGCATCTCCTTCTAGATGGGGGAGGCTTGACTTTGAAGCAAATTCTAGGGGAGAGTAGAGAGCAAGCCCAGCTTTCCATGTAGGGAAAACCTCATAGACGTGGCAGAAAGGAAGAAGTGGGTTGAATGAGGGCCAGGCAGCCGCGTTGCATGAATTAGGACAAGGAGCACTTTCCTTAAGACACTATACTGACATCTGCCAAAAAATGTTTCGTAGAAACACATGAATATGCCATCTAAATTGTAGCACAGAGCCTGGCCAGTTGTGGTAGCTTTTTAGCCACAGAGCTCCTGCACGTTTAGCGTTTACTGAATTGGTTGGAGACCTCCTGTTTTTGTTTTGTTTTTTTTTTTTTGTCTTGTTTTTCAACCGTCTTTAGTTCTTTTTCTATCTTCACTTGCTCCATTACTTCTGCCTTCTAATATTTCCACACCACCACCCCAGAGATGAAGCAATCTTTTATGTGACTGTTATGCCCTCTGAGTTCTATCTGATTGCACTTTTGTCTTTTTTACCTAAAGTCCTGAAGTGCAAGTCTGCACTCCTTGAAGTGGTCCACCTGTTCCTCTGTAGGCTCCCCTAGAACATCAGGCACCTCCTTCCAGCCCAGCAAGCTGTACCTCACATTCTCACCATATTGGCCATTGTGCTGCATTTGACATCATGGATCACCTTGTCTTAGAGCTTCTCTGTGACCCCATTTCCCTCCTCCTCCATGTGGCTGGCTGCACCTTATGTTGACCCGACTTTTTACTCCTCTGTAGTAACATTCCCAGGGGCTCTACTGGCTGCCCATTTGCTGGGAGAGCTCCTATACTCTCATAGTTATAAGTAAGTGTGGCAGTAGCTCCATGTTTCTTGTCTTGTCCTCATCCCTTTTTTCTGATCTCAGTCCTTCTGGGGCAGGGGCCCCACAGATGTCCATGTAGATACTGTTTCCTAGAATTCAGATATTGGAAGCTGAATTCATTATCTTCCTTCCTCTTGGTAAATGTATTTTCCCTTTTTTTTTTAAGATTTATTAAGAGAGAGAGAGCAAGGGGAGGGGCAGAGGGAGAGAATCCTCAAGGAGACTCCCCACTGAGTGCGGAGCCTAACATGGGGCTCGATCCCAGGAGACCATAACCTGAGCTGAAATCAAGAGCCCGATGCTTAACTGACTGGGCCATCCTGGGGCCCCTCCCCATTATTGACATGGATCCTTTTCTCTCCTAACCTCAGACATTCCCCATCTTGGAGTTATTTTGATTTTTCCTCCACGACAAGCCACAGTCAATCAGCTCTTATGCTATTTTGGGAGGAATTTATCAGTATGTGGTCCTTTGTCCCCATGCTATAGCTCCTCTGCTCACCCATGCCCCTCACCCCCTTAATTTCAGCAATAGTTTTCTAGGGAGTCTTCCACCGCTAATTCTTTCTTTGCTGTGCAACAGATACTGTCTTACACACCATTTCCCAGTATATTCCTTTCCCAGAATATATTCCCCTTTCCGGGAAGGCCACATCCAGGTGGCTTTGCTGGAGTTGAGGCTTCTTACCAGCTGAATTCCTGGATATTCCTTGGCTTTTGTGGCTCTCTAGCTGTTCTGCTCTGGCCAGGCTATTTTTTTTTCATCAAGCAAAGAATCACTAATTCTTCCCTGTGGTCTTTGTTTTGTTCACTTATGTCCATCACCATGTGAAACCCTAGTAAGATTGCTTCTATGGTAAGCCCTCCCTGGCCCTCTCTAACACACTCAGATCCTCTCTATTTTATATCCTCTCAGCATTTTATATTCAGTGTATCTCTTGAATTTTTATTATGTTTATACTGCTATGCCCTTGTGTGTCAAACCCTATGCCTCTTCTTTCGCCAACTCTACTGTAACCTCTTCTAGGGCAGGAATCATGATTTTTGGTGGTGGTGGGATTTTAAAGTATGTTCAAGTCAGTTAGTACAAGCTTGTAGTAAGAACTTCACTTTGTTTTCTAGCCAAGTGGAAGCTCTAGGGTGAAATTCTTTCACCTCAAGGTGTCTGTTTTCTTCTGAAATTCTTTCTAGCCCCAAGGGGCACAGCTGCCCACTGGCATCCTTAGAAGGCAGGGAAGCAGTCCCAGCTCTCACTCTAGCCGTGGTTATTTTAGGGCACTTAAGAAATGTTGCTGCAAGGCTGGGGGAACTCAGGAGGGAGTCATGGGGCAGAGAGGAGGCAGAAGGGTTCTCGGGAACGTGGGTCAACCAGGGTGCAGGGCCCTTACCTCTGGAGATCCTGAGAGGCTGGAACACTGAGAGGACTCCGGGCATGAAGCAGGTCTCCAGCTCCTCCTTCCTTTCCCTTCCTTCCTGCAGCGAGAGCAAGATGAGAAGACGAGTGCAGTAAAGGAAGAGCTAAAATACTGGCAGAAGCTCCGTCATGACTTGGAGCGGGCACGGCTGCTGATTGAGCTGATTCGCAAAAGAGAGAAGCTCAAGCGGGAACAGGTGGGGAAGAGCTGCCAGTCTCAGGGTTTTTGTTCAAGATCTCTTTCTCCCACTATCAGCGTGACATCAGGAGAGCCAGGAACCTCTGCCTGGTGTCTACTTCCTCCCTTTCCTGCTCAGCACTGGATGCTCCAAGGCCTGTTAGTCTGTATTGGGTATGATGCTGCACATGGCTTCTAACCACGGGATTCAGCATCTCGTGGCCTCACGCAGAGGCTTATTATCATATGCTTGGGCCCATCTCTGGAGTTTCTGACTCAGAAAATCTCAGGGTCTGATCTTGAGTATTTTGAAAAGCTTCTCAGGCCATTCTGATGGGCATCACTGCTGGCCTGGGAGCTTCCAAGGGTTTTCACTTGGCCCTTAAGACATTTATGGTCTTGATTAATCGAAATTTTCCAACCTTTAGACAAGGAGGGTCTGAGCATCTAAGCATGGGGAATGTTGAGTAGTATAACGCAGGTGTTAGGAATATGAGCTGTGCCACCAGGTGATCTGAGTTTAAGTCCTGGTTCTGTCACTTAGTGCTCATGTGACATTGGTAAGTTGCTTAATCTCTTTATGCCTCAGTTTCCTTGACTATAAAATGGTAATAATAGAACCCATGTCATAAGGTTGTGAAGAGGAGATATATTAGTATATATAAAGAACTTAAAACAGTGCCTGGCATGTCATAGGGGCTACTGAAGTGTCAGCTGGTGTCCTCCTCATCATTATCGATCGTCTTTGCCTCTCTGAAGTGTCCACTGGCACACTCTGCACATGGCAGAGAGTAAATACTATTAATTGAATGAATGGCAAGCCAAAATTGTTCTATTCAGTCTAGGAATAGCAGCTGTTACTTGTATGCTTCAGAGGCCTGGGTTAAAGATGTTCCTTTCTTTCTTTTCCAAACCCTCCTTCACTGTTCAGCCCCAGCACAAGCCCTTCTCTCAGAGGCTACAGGCTTCTGAGAGACTGGGCAGCTCTTGCCGTACCTAGCATGTGTGGGTGGCTTGGCGGGCATCTCAGGATTTCTCCATGGATTCAAACTGCCTGTGCCATTTCAGGCCCGGTCCCACAGCTGAGCTTTGCTTCTTGCCTCCAGTTCAGGGAAGTAAAAGGGAAAAGGAAGCACACAGGCCTGTTTTGATGTCACCAGGAAGAAGGAACATTTCATAGCCTAATCCATGGCTTCCCAACCTTGTAATGTTAGGGCATATGTAGAAAATCTCATTTGTGCAACATACTACTGTAAATGCACAAGGCTGCTGCTCCCTGAGGAGGGAATCCTCCAGGCCCTTGTTATCCAAGGCCAACCCAGATGCCCCAAGGGCCAGTGGGATCGATACCCCAGCATACTAAGTGAGAATTCTGGCCCAGGTCGCATTTTAAATCATCAGTGTGCTCTTTGGATGAAGTCAGACCTGGCTTCAAATCCTACGTTGTTGGGTTAATGACTTCTTGTCCTCCTCTTTCCAAACCTCAGTTTCCATATTTGTAAAGTGGGGATAATAGCCATTTCTCTCTCAGGGTTATTGTGATGATAAACTGAGGTAATCGAGAGAGGCAGCATGGCATAGTACTCAGGAGCACACACTGGAATCGGACTGTCTGGGACTGAATCCCGACTCTGCCCATTATTGGCTGTGTAGCCTTAGGCCAGTTACTCTCGCTGAGCTTCAAGTTGCTTCTTTGTAAAATGCCTCATCTGTACCTACCTCATTATATTATATAAAATGCTTGTATTTATATAAAATATAACATAAAATGTTTAGAATGTTACTTGGCATTTAAGAAGGACTGTGAAAGTGTTAACATATTATTGTAACTTTTTGGTATGGTGCTTGATACATAGGAAACAGCCACAGAGTGGTAGCTGTTGGTCATTATTTCTGGGCCAAGGGCTGGGTGATCGTTTCTCATATACTGTCAGCTTATGTCCTTTGAAAATTTGTTGTACATGATTGGCGAAAGTTATCAAGAAGTTGTTGGGTGCCTCTCTGCAACGGATATCCTGATCTCTTTCCACCTTCTCCACAGGTCAAGGTCCAGCAGGCTGCCATGGAGCTAGAGCTGATGCCCTTCAATGTGCTGCTGAGGACCACACTGGACTTGCTGCAGGAGAAGGATCCAGCTCACATCTTTGCCGAACCTGTCAACCTGAGTGAGGCAAGTTCCCTCACCACTTCCCGAGCAGTGAGCCCCTCCTGAATCGGAAGCAGGGTCTGAGTAGGCCAGGAAGGGGTTGGGCCATAGGGTGGACAAAACCTGGGGGTTTCTGGCAAAGCTAGTAGACTTGCCCAGGGTGAGGGGTCAGGAGGCCAGGGGGAACCAGGGCCCTGGGGCTCTGCCTGAGCCAGCGTGCCAAACCAGAAAACGGGGAGGCAAGAGTACCGGTGAAGGGTGCATCTGTTTGGCTAGTAAATGGTTATTGTAATTGTACAGGTTTTATATGTTTAGGTTCCAGATTACCTGGAATTCATATCCAAGCCAATGGATTTTTCTACTATGAGGCGGAAGCTGGAGTCTCACCTGTACCACACCTTGGAGGAGTTTGAGGAGGACTTTAACCTTATAGTTACCAACTGCATGAAGTATAATGCTAAAGACACAATTTTCCACCGAGCAGCTGTCCGCCTGCGGGACCTGGGAGGGGCCATTCTGCGGCATGCCCGGCGGCAGGCAGAGAACATCGGCTATGACCCCGAGAGGGGCACCCACTTGCCTGAATCACCCAAATTGGAGGACTTTTACCGCTTCTCCTGGGAAGACGGTGAGAAGCCTGGATGGGTGGGGAGAAGAGGGGCCAGGAGGAGGCACAGGGATGGAGCCCAGAGAGCCAGGGATCAGGGTGGGCCTTGGAGCTATATAGGGTAGACATGAGGAGGAGAGCTGAGAGTAGGCACAGGCTGAGCTATACCTGCTTGTGGCTGTAGTAGTTCCAGGAGTTAAAGTTTAACTAATTCACCAAGTATTTCTTGAGTGGCAGGAAAGGAAATCAGGTACTAGCTGTCTGTTTGAAAAGCTAAATCCTTACGAGGGGTCTTCCTCTTCTGGACGCCCTCTCTGTGGCTTTGGAGCGTGGAGCAGGGAGAGTGCAATGCCGGGGTATGCCTGGCTCTTTCAGGAGTGGAGGTGGAGGAGCAGGAAAACGGAATTGCTTCTGAGCCCTGCACTCTGCCTGTCCCTGCTCTCTGCTTCTCAGTGGCAGTAGCCAGTCACAGGCCGGGGGATTGCCAAGCTGCCTCGTGCCTGCTCCACAGAGCCTATAATTACGACTGTGAACTGCTTCCTGCAGACGTTTCCCAGATTCTGACCTTGTCCCTGTGGCTGCCCTCCGGGCGGTGGTGATACCAGGGCCAAGGCCTCACAGTGACACTGCTAGAAGCCACTGGCCCAAGCATTCCAGGAGAATATTTTGCATCTGAAGGATTCAGTCCCTTCCCTTTGCCCTGGGCTGGGCGGGTCCTTCAGCCCCTTCTGTCCTCCCTTCTCCCTGGCAGTGGACAACATCCTCATCCCAGAGAACCGGGCCCATTTGTCCCCGGAGGTACAGCTGAAGGAGCTGCTGGAGAAATTGGACCTGGTGAGCGCCATGCGGTCCAGTGGGGCCCGGACCCGCCGCGTCCGCCTGCTGCGCAGGGAGATCAATGCCCTTCGGCAGAAGCTGGCGCAGCCACCACCACCACCACAGCCACCATCACTGAACAAGACTGTGTCCAATGGGGAGCTGCCAGCAGGGCCCCAGGGGGATGTGGCTGTGCTGGAGCAGGCCCCACAGGAGGAGCCAGAAGACGATGGGGACAGAGGTGAGAGACGGGGCAGTCAGGGGGTTGGAGGCCTATGTAACGGAGTAAGGGTTGAGCTGAAATCCCATAGTGGAAGCTTAGGTCTGACCCTTGTGGGCAAGCAAAAACTGTTGGAGGGGTCACACTTCCATGTATATCCGGGGATGATATCCAAAATATTTAATAATCAGTAGAGACCAAAAGTCAGCAGAATGGATGTTGGCTGTTGTAATTGGAGTGTGTTCTTGGGGACCCTGATGGGGATGTTAAATTGCTAGATTGTGGACGGGTTTGGGGAGTTTCAGAGACTGGGGCCCAGCAGGTCTTCACTAACCAGTAAGGAAGCATTGTAGTATTTTGTACCTGATATGACTGTATTGCACATAGCAGTTAAATATTAGCTCACCTTGAGCCATCATGCAGATAGGCTCTTAGAGCAGATTAAGTTGTGGGGTAGGAGGATAGAAAAGGAAGAAAGACCCTAAAGATGGTCTGGCTTCTTGAGCTACCTCATGGCTTTGACCCCAGCTGGCCAAGATTACAGGCCCATCCCAAGCAGAAAGGTCAGGTTGCAAAAGACGTCCGGAGGTGATTCTCACCAGCCGTAAAGCTGAGCTGCTTTCCATCCTTCCCCTTCATTGCGGACTAATTGTACTCCTCATACAGGTCCTCAGAGCTGAGCCTACAGCTTGGGGGGAGATCTGTCATCCACACAGCCTAGAAGGGTTCTGTTATCTCCAAAGCGTAAGGGGTCAAATTGCAAGAAATGGCCCATTTTATTTTAGGTTGACCAAGAATAAGGACATGGCTGGGAGGTCCCATTTAGTAGTCACTCTTTCTGATTCCCTAGGTGGCAGTCAGCATGCCACTTGTATCCCACTCCTGGGCTGTGGCAGTGCAGAGTCCTGCCCAGTGACTGTCCAGAAGAGCTTCTCCCAGTGGGTTTCAAAACAAAATTCCCAGGCCTTTCTTCTCAAAGAGTCAGATGAAGGAAGTCTGGGCTGTGGCTTGAAAGTTGTAATTTTTAAAAAGTTTCACAGTGACAAATGACCAGACATGTTTGGGAACCACTGATTTAACTTACTTGCTCTAATTTTTACACATTTGTAAACTTACTCTTTCTGTTTGTCCTACTTGCTTTACTTGGGTGATAGGAGACAAAATACATTGGCAGAAGGGAAAACACTTGAGTTGAATGCGCATTGTGTACCTCTAATCTCTAAAGCTGAACTTGCCTGAGGATCGAAGCCAGGTGGCTTTCAGTTTTCTCAGGTGTGGAGTAATGGTTTGTAACACTCATTTCATCAGACTCACCTGGTAAAGCTTTTTTAAAAAATACCCCATAGTTAGAGATTTAGTTTCGGTTGGTCTGGGATAGGACCTTGACACTGGAATTTTTAAGAAACTTCCTAGGTGATTCTAATACACATGGTTTAGAATCATTAATGTAGATAAAACTTAATTCTACATTCTCTTTGCCTCAGACAAGGAGACCTGGCATATGCGTCGAGATTTGTAATAGCCCATGCCTTTGGTCCTTGGTCATCAGTGTCAGTATCTGGCTTGTAGGGGCAGACTTTTTCTAAAATGTTCAAGCAGGTTCTCTTTTTCTCTAACAGATGACTCCAAACTGCCTCCCCCACCAACCCTGGAGCCCACTGGGCCTGCACCTTCCTTGTCCGAGCAAGACTCGCCTCCAGATCCCCCTACTCTGAAACCCATAAATGATAGCAAACCTCCAAGCCGATTCCTAAAGCCCAAAAAGGTGGAAGAAGATGAGCTCTTGGAAAAATCCCCTCTGCAGATTGGGAGTGAGCCCTTGCAACGCCTGCTCAGTGACAATGGCATCAACAGAGTATCTCTCATGGCCCCTGATGTCCCTGCTGGTGCCCCACTCAGTGGTGTGGGCCGCCGCACCTCAGTCCTCTTCAAGAAGGCCAAGAATGGGGTTAAGCTACAGAGGAGCCCAGATAGGGCCCTGGAGAATGGCGAGGACCACGGTGCAGTGGGCTCTCCTGCCTCTCCGGCCAGCATCGATGATGAACGGCACTCCCGGAAACGGCCAAGGAGCAGGAGCTGTAGTGAGAGTGAAGGGGAGAGGTCCCCGCGACTGGAAGAGGAGACAGGTGACCATACCGGTGACTTCTCTACTTCTCATCTGCTTTCTTGCTTTGCCTTGCCAGCCAGCAACCCCCTAGTTGGCTGCCTCCCTCATGGTCCCTGCGGACCCAATAGAAGCATTGAGGGCTCCATAGTTTACAGTTGGGCCTGGCGCATGAGTAGGGGCCTGGAGGAAAAGGCTTTGAGAAAGTAATTTGAGACGGCCAGATTGTGTCTGGGGCCCTCTTTGGCCCTGAAGGGAATGCAAATCTATATGCCTTAAAGTAGTTCCTACCTTCACTTTAGTTTATTCGTTCATCAGATAATTCTGTGAGGCATTATCTAAGGCATGGGGGGAAAATCAGTGAGCAAAAGGCAAAAATCTCCCTTGTAGGGGAGAAAGACTAAAAGCAAATGAGTAGATTGTATTTTCCATTAGAAACTGTGGCAAAAAGTCTAGCAGGAAAGGGGAATAGGGGCTATTGGGGTGGTATTAGAGAGGGTGGCCTGGGGAGGCCTGAGTTGAGGACATTTGAGTAAAGATTTGAAGGAGTTGGAGGCATAAGCCATTTGGGTATCTGGGGGAAGAACACTTCAAAAAGATAGGCTAGCAAGTGCACACCTGGAGGTGGAAATGCCTGCATGCCTGGGCCAGTGAGGAAGCCAGTGCAGTTGCAGCAGCGTTAGCCAGAGTGTGGGTGGAGACGAGGCTCCAGGGCTGGCTAATGGGGGGCTCTGTCACTAAAGAGTCCTTACATCCAGCACAAGCTGGTCACGGAGTCATACAGTAAGTGAGACTGAGTTCCAGCTCTAGAAGAGTCCACAGTTCAGGGGGGAGACCAGATGGTGTCCTGAGGTGCGCAGATGTTAGAAGGACCGTATGTGGTTGTGTGTTGGGGACAGCACTGCTGGAGGCAGGCAGGGACTAGGAGTTAGAGGACTTGGGAAAGCTTCACGAGGGGCCGGGGCCTGACCTGGGCCTGTGGGAGGAAGGCAGAATAGTGGGGAGTAGATGGAGCCAAGGGCTCAGGCCCGTGTGTATGGGAATAAGGACAGAGTGCCTCTGAGGGACAGTTTGAAGAGAGGCTTCTTGGAGCACCAGGAGCCAAGGCTGGATGGGTGAGGGGGGCCTGGAGGTGCAGACAGTGTCGTGCAGTCTCAGTGGAATGGGGGAGGGCAGCTTGCTTGGTGGGAGGGGCCCGCTCTGGGCTTTTGCTTTTTGTGTTGCTCTCGTTCTTTTATGTGGTGGCTTTGGGCTGTGTGGCCAGTATATGCTTTTTGTATTCCCGCCTAACACTTTGTTTCTAGCAGTACCTTCCCTTCCCCGTCAATAGATTAGTATATGGAACCAAGAGTCTGAGGCCTGGAGTTAGGCAGACCAGGGTTCAAGTCCCATCTTCTGACCAGTTGTATAGGCTTGGGCAGATGAATTAACCTTTCAGACTTATTTCTTATTTCTAGTAGGAGGCTCTAAGAATTGGAAATAGCCTGTGTGAAGTACTTAGCACGCAGCAGTCGATGGTCGCAGTTACCGTGGTTGTCTCCGCTCCGTGAGGAGCAGCCAGACAGCACTGAGAGGGCTGTGCACTAAAAATGAAAAATCCCGCTCTTGGGAAATAGGTCTGGGTATCAGGCTCATCCAACCTGAGAGGGCCTACTGCTTGGGAACCTGCTAGAATCTGTTCATCCCCCACCATCCCAGAGGCCTGGCACCCAGGAATATTTCTGTACAACTTAAGTGGAGTCTCCCAAAAATAGGTGTTGATCTTTGGCAGTCGAGGCAGCTGAGACGCAGCTGGCTTCGTGATTTAAACAGAAGCTGTAACATTAGAGGCAGAGCCAGGTGAGAGTCCAGATATCTTGGCTCAGGCACCTGCTTTTACAGATGTAGCTTGTACTCATAGTTCTCTGGCCAAAGTGTCTGTGACCGAGAGCTCTTGAGCTCTTGGCTCAGCTTCCAGACTCCTAGGACTCTGGAATGTGATTAGGAATCAGGGATGAGAGAGGAGAGTTGGAAGACTTGGCCACTCATGAGCCTCGTGTCCCTGGGATGACCAGACGGCCTTCATTTCCTCCAAAGGGCCCCTTTCTATAAACAGACTTCTCTCATTCATACCTAATACTGTCCTCTTTAAGTAAGAAGGTATTATTTTCAGAAATGGAGAAGAAGAGGTAAAGAGGAAAAGGGACGTGTATTTCAGAGCCCAGTCCAGGACCTAGGGAACTCTTGACTCCCAGGCCAGCAAGGTCAGGTCTCCTTTAGAGGTGCTCAAGTCCCCCATCCTTAGCTCTGACCAGCTCTGCTAGGTTATCTTGGGGTGGGACTGACATAGCCACTACCCTTCCCCGACCTCCCCTGACACCATCCCAAAAGAATGAAGCTGTTCCCAGCTGTGTGATGGATAGGGTGTGTGAGTGTTTATCTGAAGAGGCAAGGTGGGTGGGCTCCCCAAGAGGCAGAGGAGACTCCCTGATAATTGAGACTTGAAATTAGAAGCAGATCCAGGGACTTAGGAGCCAGCTGGAGTAGGGAAGTCTTGGTATTTCCTTTTGTAGCCAACTGACAGTAACTGGTGTGAACTGTGTGCTGTGTTTCCCTTAAACCAGAGGGATGGGAAGGAAAATGCAGTGTCTGCTCATTGCCCTAGTCAACATTTCCCCCAAATCTTCACTGGGTTCTTTCTGCCACCCAAGACCTATTTCCCATGTGGGAAGAACAGCCACCCTCTTCTACCTGAGCCCTCCTGAGTCCTCACTGAGCCCTCCTGAGGCGGCTGCCTCACACACCAGCACGGGTCAGGGGAAGGGGGTTTCCGAGTTGAGGCTTACTCTGTGTCCTTGGCAGGCGTGACCAACGGCTTTGGAAAACACACTGAAAGCGGGTCTGACTCCGAATGTAGTTTGGGTCTCAGTGGCGGACTGGCATTTGAAGCTTGCAGGTAAGAACAGTTGTTCCCAAATCTTTGTTGGCAGCTCTGCCACCTCCCCCTTTATTCTCTGTTCAGCTACAGATGGAACCTCCTCCTGCTTATCTAAGATTTTTCTTCCCCCACTCCTGCTATTTCCTGAAGCCTCTGGTCTATAACACTGGTAGCTCCTAGGAAATGGGGATAACCCTTGCCTCACAGGCTGATCCGACTGGAAGGGGAGGAGTGGCGTTGATGATTTACAGGGTTTGTAGAGCTGAATTTGGCTCCAGGGGGCAGGGACAGCCAAATCTCTATTGCCCAGCGAAGTTAACATTTGAGCCAATCCCCCACCTTCCCTGCTGGGCCGCTCTGATAACCCAGTTACAGACACGGTTTTGCCCTTTGCCTTTTGGGGTATCGTAGCAAAGGCATCTTGAGAGGTGTGGTGGGCAAATAAGAAATGAGCAGATAGGAAGTTTGGAATAGCCATTTTATTCAAAGGCCCCAGCTCTTCTGCCATCCTCGAGTTGGGAAAGGATGGGTTTCTTTTTCCATTCTTTTACCGGAGGGGAGGCTTTCTGAGACCAGAACATTAAAGTTTCTTCCAACTCCAAGAGTTTATTGGATCCCTACACTGTGTTATGGGTGCTCTGCCAGACACCATGGAGAGTGGGATTATTGGAAATGGGAGACCCTCAGTGCCACAGAGGAGAAACAAGTTGTCCTGAAAGCTAACTTATAGTCCCCCATCATGGCCATTGAATGGATCCTGGGTTCAGAGTAGGGGAGGAAAGGTCCCAGGGCAGTACTAAAAGACTCTACGTCCAGGTTTGAAGTGCTTCCAAGGCAGGTTGAGTGTGTGTTTTGTTAGTACTCACTCTACTGTGGCTACTGGGCTTCTGGGGGCAGGGGCCATGTGTGGCTGTGGGAGGACCCCTGCCATGGTATGTGGTTCCTTTGAGATTTCCCTCCCACCAAGCCTCAGAATCACCCTAGCTTTCTTATTCCGTGGCCTCTAGAGATGTAGGGGCAGTGGATGGGAAGAAACACAGTATTATGCATAGAGGAGGCAGAGCTTTCAAAATCTTACAAGATGCTTTTACCTTGGTCCTGGGTTGGAATTCCTGAGTCCTTTCAAAGATAATGATGCCGGGAAACCCAGTTCATTGGCATAAGGTAGGAGTAGCTTAACAAACTATCCCCTCTTAGCCCTTGACTAAGGGTGGAAGGTGTGTTGGACCCTTTGCTCCATGAAGGGCTCTCATCCCAGCCATGGACCACAGGAAGGGAGCCAGGCCAACCTCTGGTTAGCCTGTTGATTGGGCCGTGTGTTTGCTTTTGTGTGGAACTCCATTCCATGCCACCAATTTCTCTAGAGCCCTGCTTAGTGTGGGAACAATGCCCTTGGAAGGCATTTCCTCTTTAAGTCAGTGGGACTCAGTGGAATTTCAGGGTTTAAAATAGGAGGTTCAGGACTCCCAACTGTAAGATTTTTTTTTTTCCTTTTTCTTTCTTTCTTTTTTTACTCCCTACACTGTGGAGATAAGTACGTAAAGGAAGATTTTACTTACTAATTTTTTTTTTAAGTTTTATTTATTTGAGAGAGAGAATATGCACACATAGAGGGTAGGGGCAGAAGGAGAGGGAGAGAGAAACTTTAGTAGACTCTGTGCTGACCCCGGAGCCCAATGTGGGACTTGATCTTGAGACCCTGATACCATAAACTGAGCAGAAACCAAGAGTCAGCTGCTCAACTAACTGAGCCACCCAGTCACTCTTTTAGTTACTAATTAGACTGGAATCATATAATCCCAGAATTAGAAAAAACCTTGAAAGAACCTGTGTTCACTAATCCTATTCCCTTGCCCACCTATGCTGGGGTTTATCTTTCCTGATGATTTTCTGAGCAGACTGGGGCTGTGCCTTCTATGGGTCACTTACTCAATTATTAATAATTGAGCACCTATTTCAAGCCAGGCATTGTTCTAAGTACTGATAAGATGTGTTCTAATGGAGCTTATCTTTTAGAAGGGACAGATGAATGTTAGACCAGTAAACAAAGTAATTATAGATTGGGTTGGCTGCTTAGGTCTGCGTAACCTGGGAAGAGGGCTGAAATGCAGGCCAGGTTGAGTCACTTGTGCTTTTCTATGAAACAGGAATACACGGACCTAGTTTTGTTGTATCTTCTTTTATTGAGCTCTTCCTCCTCAGAGCTCATCATTTGATAGTACACAACATTAGTAGTTTATAATATTTAAAGTGAGAAATTAAAATTTACTGCCCTTCATATATTAGTATTTGTTATATAACTACCATCTGTCATTTGTTGAGTACTGGGTATGTGAGTCCTTTCTGTGTATTAATGCACTAGATCCTCACAGCAGCCCATGGGGACACCAGCCTCAGAGAGGGTAGGTAACTTGCTCAACGTCATAGAACGCATGAATAGAAGAGCCAGGTTCTAAACCCAGGTAGTCTGGCTCCAGAGTTTCTCTCTTAACCTCTCTGTTGTGCCCTCTTTTGTCACATTTGAAGATGTCTCCCCAGATCCATGGTAGGAACGTTGAGAGGCCGCAGAGTCTCTAAGCCCAGTGGCAGATTTTTATAGGGTGACTGGGAACTGAATCCGAAATGTAAACCGAGTGTTAATTTTTTTTTTTTTTTTTCCTAAACAGGTTCTAATTTTGACTAGCAGGAAAAAAAAGCTACCAACCTGCCAGTTACTGAAGGATTAGGATTCATTGGGTTCTGGTTGTGCAAGGTTTTCTGAATAAGACTATAATATGAAAACTTAAAAAAGAAAAAAGGCTATAATAAAGTCAGCTTTGATTCAGTAAAACAGGAGTACCCTACTCTCTCCAGCCAGTCCTGATGCCGGCCTCCTTTTATCCCACCAGGGGTGTCCTAAGCATTTCTGCTCTTCTACAGATTGGTGCCCCATCTTTTAAGCATTTCTTTTTTGTTGAAAAAATTATAGGAGTGATGTTTCTCACTGTTTGGATGGGAACAAACCCTGGCTACATCATGCCCGGAGGCTTACAACTATGGTGTACGTTAGAATTGCATTGAAAGCTATTTAAAAATATAGATGCTTGGGTGGGTTCCACGTATACCATTACTCTGATATTACCATTCTCATTTTTGCTTTAGTACCTTCTAGTTTTTGTCTAATATATATGTATTTTTTTACTTCTTTGCAGTAACTGTATGGGAAAAAATTGGTCTTATTTGTTAAAAAAAAAATCCATCTCTAAGAAAAACTTCACACACAAAGTGGAAGTGAGAAGTGGATTTTTTTTTTCAATTAAAAAATGTCTTTTCTAATTAAGGAAGTAAGACATGTCCTTTTAGAAAGCTTGGGAAAGAGGTGCATTTTTGTACCTCAAAAATAAATTGTTTTCTAAAGAAGCAGTGTGAACCACAGAGTAAAAGAATTCTGGACAGATGTGAGACTGGCCCTCCTCATGACTAGGCTGCTTAAACCCTGGAAGGATTGACAAGTGCCTGGAGTGACCTTTCCTCTGGGTGAAGACCAAGGTCCCTGGGCAAGGAAGCAGGCATCTCTATCCAGAGCCCTTCCACACAGATGAAGTGGTCCCTCAAAGCCTCATAGGAACTTTGTGGTCAGAAGCATATCGTGGGTTAGTGCAAGTTATTAGGGGAAGGTGAGAAACTATTCTCCTTGAAGGGTTTTTGCAGCTCCCCTCCTCTCAGGCATAGGAGAGCAGCAGTGGATGTGTTAGTCATTGAAATTGCTCATTTTGCCCCCTCTGCCTTCTTGGTCTATATGCAGTGGTCTGACGCCCCCCAAACGCAGCCGTGGGAAGCCAGCCCTATCTCGCGTCCCCTTCCTGGAAGGTGTAAATGGAGATTCTGACTACAGCAGCTCAGGTGAGGAGCGGTATACTGGTGGATCTGGGGAGGCGGGGCAGGCCTTCCAAAGAACCAGCTCTGTGGGCTGCAGCCAGACCCGTAGCTCCTAAAACTCTTGGGCACGGGCGTGGAGATGGCTCCCCGTCCCAGGCCATTCAAACTCTTTTTTTTTTTTTTTTTTGAACTTCATCCTAAATTTGAATAGTAATATATGCCCATGATAACAAAAATCAAAAAGGTACAAAGGGTGCATAATGAAAAGTCAGGGGTCCTTTCCTTAGAAAAACCACTGCTAGCAGTTTCTTTTGTGTCTCCCTAGATGAAATTTATATAAGCCAAGACCTATGCATATATTTAGGAGGGTACGTAGAGAAGCTAATATACATGTGTTCCTCTAAACCATGCCTTTTTTCAGTTAGTAATATATCTTGGAGATGCTTCTGTGCTTTTTATTGGCTGCCTGATGTCCCATTATCTAGGAGTGCCAGTCCTTCACAGGTGGACATGTAGATTGTTTTCACTTCTTTGTTATAATCAGTGAGCAACTTGTACACAGATCATTTTGTATCGCTGGGGAGCATGCACTTCTGTAGAGAAGTGGAGCTGCTGTACGTGAGAGAAATGTGTACTTGTAGTTTCCAGAGACATTGCCAGTCTGCCCTCACTGGAGTGATCAGTGACAGCCTGGATCACTGAATCTCACACATTGCCCTGAGATTTCATGGGATCCAGTGCTTCCAGCCACATCCTCATGAGACATTCTACTCCGGCTGGTCCAAACAGTGACATACATGGACTGAGAACAGGACAAGGCAGGGCCATAAGAGAGGGCTGGTTGGTGCTCAGGTGGAGTGGGGACAGGGCGGGCCCTCCTGTGCAGCGGGGCGGTGCACTCTGGATGCCCCGTGAAGCTTCCATATAACACACAGGCGTCAGGGCCTCTCTTCTTTCCTTTTCCCAACCGCTTTACTTTTCCTTAGCATCAGTTTCTTTCTCATACGTGTGTTGAGGAATGCATGCCTGTGTGTTTCACTGTTGTCTGACTGTCAGCACCCAGAAAGCAGGGCTCATGTCTAGATGAATTGGATCAGCATCTAACACAAAACTGGCAGCAGATTGGCACCTACATTATGATTCTGGTAGTGACATTTTACTCTTATTTTTAAAACCATATACTTATAAAATGATGCCAAAGGAAATTTAAAAATTTCGACCCTCTGATGTCCCATCATCACCTTAACACAGTTGTCTTCATTTCTCTCTGTGGCCTTCTGTTTATTTTAGGCACATTTTTAACAAAATGTTAATCCAGAACATTTCATTTTCTGCATTTTTCAACGTTCTCTCATACTTTTTCATGTTGACACGACCTTTATTTAACTCATATTAGTGGAACAACGTATCTTCCAATCAGTGCATTATAGTTTACTTAACTCTTTTATTGTTAGACTTTTGGTTATTTCCAACTTTCAACATTATACATAATGTAGTAAATGTGTATTTTTGTTCAAAATCCTTTTATTCATTTTTAAAGTTATTTTTCTTTGAATACATTCCCACGGAAGGAATGTACTGAAGCAGATGATTCATACTTTTTTTTTAATGGCTCTTGAGACATACCGCCAAATTATATATATTTTTAAAGATTTATTTATTTTTAGAGTGAGAGGGAGAGAGAAAGTGCGTACATGCAAGCAGGGGGAGGGGCGGAGGGAGCGAATCTCAAACAGACTCCCTGCTCGGCATGGAGCCCAACACAGGGCTCAGTCTGGACCCTGAGATCATGACCAGAGCAAGAATCACGAGTCAGATGCTTAATCGACTGAGCCACCTACATGCCCCCTGCCAAATTATATTCTTAAGGATTAGACTGGTCTGCAGTTTCTTCAACAGTGTGTGATTGCACCAGTTTCCCCACAGCCTTCCTCTTTAATGTTAGATTTTATCCTTTTGTTGTTACTGCTTTTGACCCAGTGCATAAAAAGCAATACCTTGGGGTGCCTGAGTGGTTCAGTCTGTTAAGCGGTTGCCTTCAGCCCAGGTTATGATCCTGGGGTCCTGGGATCAAGCTCTGTGTCCGGCTCTCTGCTCGGCAGGGAGAGTGCTTCCCCTTTCTCTCTGCACACCCCCTCCCTGGCTCATGTCCTCTCTTTATCTCTCTCTCTCTCAAATAAATAAATCTTTAAAAAAGAAACAGTACCTCATTATTAGTAGTACATTTTTTTTTTTAATTATAAATGAGGGTGGTAATATTCTTTAGGAATATAATTTCCATTCTGGAGAAGTCTGGGGCCTTTTCCTTGATTGTGCTTGGTCACCTTGAGTTCTCAGTTTCTAGCTGTGGGGAGGGGAAGGGAGGTTCCTCTTTCTGTTCAGGAGCATTTGTGAAGTCCATCGAAGCGTGCTGGTGCATCGGGTGTAGAACAGAGTAAGCTGGAGAGATGTGGTACCTGCCCTGAGCGGGACACCGTCTAAGGTTCTGAGAAAAGCATGTCCATGAGGGACCTGCAGACCTGCTAGGCTCTGCTGAGTCCTGTGTTTCCAGGTGACCTGGGTGGCCAGGCGTGGCCCTGTCAGGAAAGAACTCATTTATTAGCAAGTGGTTTTCCTGGGATGTCTGTCCCAGGCATCTTTTTCCATGAAGCCTCTATTGGGAGGCTCACCACGCAGGGAGGCCCAGAGAGCAGGTTGTGGTTTTGTCAAGTTGCATTGTCATTCTTCTTCCTGGGGTCCTGGTAATGAAGCAGTCATATTTTTCCAAGGAATACCATCCTAGGGTTCTAGTCCAGAGGTCAGCAGACTAACATATTGCCTGTTTTTTTGTAGGGCCTGCAGGCTAAAATGGTTTTTACATTTTTAAATGATTGAAAAGAAAATCAAAAGAAGAATGATATTTTATAACACATGAAAATTGCATGAAATTCAAATTTCAGTGCCTAAAAATAAAATTTTATGGGGACACAGCCATATTCATTCCTTTACAGAATATCTATGGCTGTTTTCATGCTGCAACAATAGAGTTGAGTGGTTGCAACAGAGACCATGTGGACTGTAAAACCTAAAATATTTATCATTTGGCCCTTTACAAAACAAGTTTGCCGACCTCTGGTCTAGTCGTAAGAACTAAGGAAAGGCCAGGGAAGAGGAAGGGTGGAGGGGATGTAACTGACTCATTCCTGGGTTGCCCCAGTCAAATGGAGGCCACAGGCAGGCCTCCTGGGCACCATTCCAAGTCCCCTTTGGGTGCTGTCTCCTCCCCTCCCCCACCCCCAGGCAGAAGCCTCCTGATGCCCTTTGAAGACCGCGGAGACCTGGAGCCCCTGGAGCTGGTGTGGGCCAAGTGCCGAGGCTATCCCTCCTACCCTGCCTTGGTGAGTCTGCCCCAGACACCACTCTCCTCCCTTCCCTGGGCTGTTCTGGCCCCTGTCTTGCCTTGGGGGCTTATCTGATTGGATCAAGCCAGCAGAGTACGGTGGGGGTCAGGGTGCCTTTAGCCACAGAAGAGAGGGAGGTTTTACCCCAGCCTGGGTGGGTCAACCCATCAAGGCCCCCAGCTTGGAGCACTCAAAATAGGGTAAAAATATGAAGACAGAGACTTGGGCTTATAAGGATTTAATAGCATTTATTTATTTGCTTATGCATAAAAGTAATGTATGCTTGTTGTAGAGAATTTATTAAACATTTGTCATGCAAATTCTTGAAATACTGAGGAAAGTATGGTTTTTCTCATGTTGTGGGGAAGGAAATTGAGGGTCTGTCTGTTGCCTGTGGTCATCTAGCTATTAAATAGCAGGGTTGGAATTTGAGCCCAAGGCTCAACATGTGTGATGGCAAAGCCTGTGTTCTGAGCCACTACGTTCAAAATCACCCATAGTCTCATCTATTCGGAGATTACCTCCTGGTATATAGCCACTCAGCTTTTCTAAAAAATGCATAAATATGAGATCATACTCTGTTTAACCTCCCTTTCACTTAACAGTGTACCATGAACACGCATGTCTTGTGCCATTAAACATTCTTTATCAACATCACTTTAATGACTGCATTATCCTCAGTTGTATGCATGCACCTTATTTAACCATTCTGTAGTTGCTTATTTAGGTTGTTTGAGTTTTTCACTATGACAAGTAGCTGGCAGTAAACATGACTATAATTTTACTTTGTGCACATCATGATGATTTCTGTATAGTGAATTCTTAGAGGTGCCTTCTTGGGGCAAGGTCTCTGCAAAATTCTGATACAAATTGCCAAGCTGCCCTTTAGAAAGTTAGTTTCAGTGTCTACTCCCACCAGTAGTTGCTAAAATTTCTCATTTTTTCCGTAGTAGCAGTAGCTAAAAATTCTGTTTTTATCACCTTGATTGTTATTTCTTAGAGCTCCCTCTGTACTGTGGAGGTAATGTCCATCTGGCGCTGGAAGATAGTGATTCTAAACCTTTGGGACATGCCAGAATCATGGAGGAATTTTTTTAAACAATACGGATACTGAGGCCCCATCTCAGAACGACCCAGTGAGAATAAGGCCAAACTAAGCAATGAATATTTTCTTAATTTTAATTTAATTTAATTTTATTAGAGAGCAGCACGAGATGGGTTGGGGGAGAGGGAGAGAGAGAATCTTAGGCTCCATACTCAGTGTGGAGCCTCATGTGGGGCCTGATCTCAGGACCCCAAGATGATGACCTGAGCTAAAATCAAGAGTTAGGTGCCTAACTGACTGAGCCACCAGATGCCTCTAGCTATAAATATTTTTTAAAAACCTTCCCAGATGATCTGTAATCAGGGTTGTGAACTACCCTGACAACTGCTTGCATGTATACAGGGTTCCGGGCTTCTCACGGTTCTTTCGGGTCTAATAGCAGCTTGTTAAGGTCACGAAGGCAGAAACTCTGACCCTTTTGGGCTGGAGGAAGCTACAGCTCTAAGAGGTTGTACAACTTGCTGGGGCCATACTGGAATGCCTTTTGCCTACCTCACTCCCCCTGTAATGGCAGGTGGGGGGATCCACGCAGTGATCTAACTGTTGAGGAGGTTGGGCCTGGGGTCTGTGCCCTGTTGTCACTGAGACCGCAGCGTAATTGCCGAGGAAGTGCTTAAAGCTGTACAGGTTTGATACTGGTTTTTTTTAAGTCTCACAGTGCAAAAACAAACAACAACAACAGAAGTCTAAAACTGGTCTCTTTTTTTCCCTTTTTAGTTATCTTCTTTATCATAACATTTTCTTTCATGATTAAATAAATTCAGCCACCACCTGAGAAAACCCACCTCCTGAACACAGCCTGTGTTTTTATTTTGGTTTACACTCTCCCAGTTCTCCTGTGCATTCTTAAATGTGTACTTGTGTCCATAATGAATATACGGTTTTCGAATGGTTTTTTTTGGCTCTTGTTTTAAAAAATGTCTTTTTCTATAAAATAATGTGCCTGTACTATAGAAGTTTTGGAAAAGTAGCAGGAACCCCACCATTCTAGCATGTCAGCTGTAAGCGTTTTGCATCATGTCTTGTCTCTGTTTATGTAGTAAGGCTCTAATAATAGTGTATGTAGACGTTTATTAGATAATGCGTTAAAGTGTATCACAAGCCACGTTGTTTTACATCTGCATAACATTTGAGCGAATGGTCCATCGTTTGTTATTTTGGGACATATTTGCCTGTATCTTCTTTAAAAAGGGAGGAGAGCTCTCCTTGAGGGGCGACTTACCCACCTTGCTTCTGCTTGGGGCAGGGGCAGGGGCAGGGGGTGGCATTTTTCACCATCTGCCAGCTCTCCTCCCTCCCTTTCCAAGGCAGGAACCAGCATGGCTTTAGTGAAGAGTGGCCCCACTATCTTGTTCAATTGAGGAAGTTCAGGCGGGCTTGTGTGGTGGTTCTCATTAGGACCCTTAGCTTCGGTCCCAGGGGGGACAGACAGGCTGGGAGATAGAGTTTTGACCAAACTACACAGCTGGGGGCAGGGTAGGGGCGGTTCTTCCTTAGAGCACACTCTTAACCAAAACACCTGCTTTCAGCTTCTTATCTTGAGAGCGAAGTAGGGAAGCTGGCAGACACCCAAAGGTAAATAGCCAGAGCAGTTTATTATGAGAACAGGCCCCCTGGGACAGGGTATGGCAATTAATATCGTTCCATCTCTGGAGAAAGCTGCTTCCTCAGTACATTTCCAAGCCCCTCTGGCCTCAGCACACAGAGATGATCAGCCCACTGCTCTGGAAATGAGGTCTGTGTAGGGCAGCAGGCAGCAGAGGCTCAAGCCACTGTGGCCACAGCCAGCCATGTCCTCCTGTGCCTGGTGCTTTCCTCAGTCAGCTGATAGCTAGCTGTCAGCAGACTTCTCCGCATCAGTAAGAAGATGAAATAAGATGGTGATGTGTGAATAAGTAGGAGCTTTGGTCACTGTCAGTGCTTCCTAGAGCTAGAGGTCACGCTTGTCAATGTCACCAGGCATTCTGCAGAGCCCCTGTCCTGTGGAGCTTGCAGCCCCGAGCATTAATTCCTCTGGTGGCCCTTCTTTCTAGCCACATCATTCCCCCCTCTCCAGCAACCCTCCAAGTTCAGTCTTACAGCATTTTTCTGATGCCCACAAATGTACCTAGTCCACACAGCAGGCAGAATATAGTCAGAAAAATAGTGGGGAGCCAGGGCCTCTGGTAGGTAGAACCAAAGGGATGGGCCCTGATGCTGTTGCAGAAGCTCCTTCCTAGTGGTGGTGTCTAGGAAGGCCCCGGAGCCTTTGATATGAATTGCAGAGGTTTTAAAGGGAAATTGACAAGGGCAAAAATGGCCTCTACTCCCTTCCCCTAAGGGACATTGGGAAGAATGAATTTGCCAGTCTGGCCTGGACATCACAGATACCCCCTCAATTCTGACACACACACACCAGTGTCCCCTCCCCCACCTCCTCCCCCCACCCCCGGATTCACATTGCTTCTGTTTCAGCTCTGGGCCCCAAAGCTTCGTGGAGCAAGCTCACTTATTGGAAGAATTGACTGAGCAGGGCTAGAGGATTAGACCAATGAACTGGGAAAGGAGAGCCGAGACTTCCATTTTGGGGTTCTGGGGGGTCACAGAAGAGGTCAGCCCCCTTCATCACTTGGTTGTGGGCCTGGCTAAGGCCCTACATAGCTTGGTGGGGGGCAGGTTCAGGAGGGAGTCCTGGTGCAGCATGCTCTGCTCACCCCCTCCACCCACAGCTGAGGGCCATCTTTTTTCCTGCCTCCAGATCATCGATCCCAAGATGCCCCGGGAGGGCCTCCTGCACAATGGTGTCCCCATCCCTGTCCCCCCTCTGGATGTGCTGAAGCTGGGAGAGCAGAAACAGGCCGAGGCTGGAGAGAAGCTCTTCCTTGTCCTCTTCTTTGACAACAAGCGCACCTGGTGAGTGGGTGCTCCCGCCAGGAGGTTGCACCAGTGTGTGGGCTGCTGGCCCGACTGGGAGGCTGTGCACAAAATGCCATGCTGGGGAGGTCCAAGGAGGGCTCTGGACTCCATAACCCTGCCTCCATCCAGGTAAGGTGAAGCATTACCAGCATGGCTGCCCCTGGCACATTAATAGTAGCTGTCTCAGGTCAGATTCCCTGGGAAACCCCCTGAGGTGGAGATTTCTATCAGGAGGCTTACTGGGGAGAGCTGTGGGAATGAGGGATGTAGGGCTGGGCAGAGGGACCTGTGGAACAGGGTCACATTTGCTATAGAGGCCTCCGCTGTTCCTCAGGGGAGCTCGGGAGCTGGGAGGCTTATTAGCGATGTCAGGATTTGGGTCTGTGCGTCTGTGCCTTTGTATGCTCCTGTCAACTAGTCACTGAATGCTGGCTGCCCCTGGGTGGGGGTCGGGGGGGAGGTCACCTTGGCCATGTGGAGGTGATTCCTGGAGAAGATTCGGCTGAGAGCCTCCCCATGGATGTGGGCATGTGTGTCTTAGTCCTCGGGTCGGGGGATGTGGAGGTGGAGTGGTTCTGAGCAGTGCAAGGTCCATGGCAAAGGGCTTACTTGCCCTTCAAGATCTCTCTTAGCAGCAGGAAACTTTTTTCACTTCTTCTATAGAATGAGAAGGTAGGACTAGCCAGTCCAGATAATAATAGCTACCACTAATTGTTTACTCCGTGTCCTTATGCAAATTGATTTACATACATAATCTCATTTAATTCTCATTAAATCTTCCATCAAACTCCTCCAGTCCATTTTGCAGCTGAGGAAACTGGGGCTCGGAAAGTTAAGACCCCCATAGCCAGAACTGGGATACAAACCATGATCTGGCTCCAAAGGCTAGCTTTTAACCATATGTTAGATTCACCTGGGGATCTTTAAACACACACACACACACACACACACACACACACACACACACACAGGCTAGCTTTTAACCATATGTTAGATTCATCTGGGGATCTTTAAACACACACACACACACACACACACAGGCCAGCTTTTAACCATATGTTAGATTCACCTGGGGATCTTTAAACACACACACACACACACACACACACCCACCCAGGTGTGGTCGCCACCAAGGAATCATTGATTCTTGGTATCAGCCCCAGTTCCTAGCCATAGTTCCCTGATGTCCCAAGGCAGGGTGAGGGCTAACCCTCATATGGGCCTTTCTTGGCTCCCAGGTCCTGACAGCCCTAAGCAGAGTGAGTGGGGCTCAGGGAAGGGCCTGGCTGCAAAACAAGTCCTTTGGAGACGACCTGCCTGGAGTGTCCCAGTCTGTCTCCTCCTGTTCTGTTGCCTCCTCTGGCTTTACTTGTCCTAGGCAGATGGCCCAGAGGTGCCGCTTAATGTGACCCACCACACCGCAGGCCTCTTGCTGTGCTTGTGTTTTAGGCAATGGCTTCCAAGGGACAAAGTGCTGCCCCTGGGTGTGGAAGACACTGTGGACAAGCTCAAGATGCTGGAAGGCCGCAAGACCAGCATCCGAAAGTCGGTGCAGGTGGCTTATGACCGTGCAATGATCCACTTGAGCCGGGTCCGGGGGCCCCACTCCTTCGTCACCTCCAGCTACCTGTAAGGGCAGGGCCTGGCCTGCGTCTGCCTGTCCTCCCTCTGTCCCATGAGGAACAGAGGCCTCTTCCTGCCCCAGCCAGTCGTATGGCCGGCAGCTCCCCCCCTCCATGGCAGGCCAGGGACTGGGTTGTGTCCTCCCCACGGGCAAGGCCCCAGTTTTGACCAACTGCGTGGTTCCCCTGGTGGGCCTGCTGTGTGCCAAAAACTCCCACCTGAGCTTGCTCAGGGGCTAGTCCACTGAAGAACCAGTTAGAAGTAGAAATAGCTGTGAGGCTTAGGCCCAGCCAAGGAGATGGACCTGAGCCCAGAATGCAAGAGGTCCTAGGCTCAAAGGTGTGCCTGGCCCCTTCCTCCCCACTCCCAGCTAACTACGCCTCAGGGCAAGTGAGGCTCTGACATTGACCCCAGAGGTGCTGTGGATACACGAGGGTCCCACAGGGAAGCTCACGGAGCTCACCCTCTCTCCCCTCATCACCCATTCTCATACCTCTTCCCTGTCCCATCTTCTGCACAGTGCCGTCTTTTTCCCATGTTCCTTTCCTTTGTGCCAAATGGACAGAAACCATCACCAAACTGGTCTTTTTTTTCTTCTTCTTTTTATGTCTCATTCCCTTTGAGGCCAGCTGCTATGCTAGGTGGGTGCCTCCGCCTGGCTCCTCAGGGCCCAGGACAGAAGGCAGCCTACCACTTGGGTGACCCCTCCACCAGCACTTCCCCCCACCTGTATTTGCTGCAGACACACAGCTGGGGCCAGGCTCTGAAGGCTTGCCCCCTTGACCGAGGCGAGGCCCCTCTTCCCCTTTCCTTGTGTGCCGAGTGGCGGGCTGAGGCTTGGTGGGCTCCTGTCAGACCAGGCTGGTTGGCCGAGTGTCCATCCGTCCACTTGGATGGCGAGGGCTGTGGGGTGCATCCGTGCTCTTCAGCTGGGTCTAACCCCTCCTGTCCTGTCTCTGTGGTCCTCACTGTCTGCCGCCATGGATGGTGGGGCCCGCAGTCCAGCCGCCCCCTGCCTGCACTCTGCCCTGCCCAGCCTCTGCTGCTCCCGCTCCCGCACTCCAGGGGACACCATGCTTTTGTTTCTCACTCTCTGTCCTCTTCCCTTTCCTCCTTTCAACTCCCCTCCCCACCTTCACCTTCTCAAAAATGGAAGGAAAAAAAAAAACCAACTGTGAAATGGGGAATGCTGACTGACAAACCAACACAACTTTCAGAGGCTTCGATGTCTATTCTCTGGATGATTCTTTTCACCTCTTAAGCACCAAAGCCGCCAGGTCGCAGGCCACTGATCGCCATGTTGATTTTTAATCTGATGTTCTTTTTAATTGTTTTAAATTTTTCATAGGGGAGTTTTGGACAAAACAAAGTCACTGGGGAGATCACTGCCATTTTTACACACTCGACTTTTTAAAAATACAACCAACCAACCACCACAACTTCTTATACATTTGGGACACGAGCCAGGGTTTAAAAGGGAACCAACAAAACTCTCTATAACATAAAGGATGGGGTTTTGGATTTTGTACAATAATAAAAATACAATACAGCATATGGCTAGGGAAGGACATGGTGTATATAATTGTAAAATACTGTTCTAAATTATTGAGGCCTATAGTTTCCATTACTGGAGTCCTCCGTTGTGTGGCTGTTTTAAATGCACACAGTTTAAATGCCCAGGTTTGTTTAAAGGAGCCAATGCGTCCCCCCTCTCCCCAGGTAGTCGGTCAGCTGTGGATTCTGTGACCTTTGTCTCAACCTGTGTTGTAAGATCTCGGGGCTTTCTCTCTCTTTCTCTCTCTGTGTCTCTTTCTTCCCCCGAACACCTTCTCTTTCTTAGTCTCTTTTTTCCCCCAAGCTCCTTGACTCTTTCAGTCTCTCTCTGAGTCTTATTTTTAAAACTGCTCTTTTAGAATGGGAAGCGGCTCAGATCCTGCTGTGGCTCGGGGCCTACGTGTCTCAGTCGCGTCTGCTGTGAAGCACACGATGCTCTATTTATTGTAGAAAGTGACTTTATTTGCTTTCTAGAATTGTTTATAACAGATGGTATAAGAGAGGTAATAAACAGAGAAAAATCTATGCTTGTAAAGAATACAAAAGTTAATTTTACCTACTATAATATGACTGTCTGAAACTTATTTTCTCTCTGAGAAATAAATGTTCTAATGGGCAGTAATTGCTGTGCTGTGTTTGGCGTCGTCCGTGGGGGCCCGCCCCTCGCTTCCTAATTTCTGTAGCCCACCCCCTCCTCAGAAGGCGGGAGCCATTAAGAATGGGGCTGTCTAGCTGTTGCAGGCTCCCGGCTGGAAAGGGCTCTGTCTGTCTGTCTCTTGGACCCCCGGGAGGGGTGTGAAGGTGGGCTCCAACATTGTTTCCCTCCCAAATAGCACCAGCCTCTCAGTCCTGTGGAAGGTCCAGCCTATTGGCCCATGGCTCAGCTTTCCCGTGGCCCTGTTCCTTCGGGACCATCTGTTCCTCATGAAGCAGGAGATGTAGCCCCGTGTCTCTAGCACCTGTTTACCGAGCTTGCCAAATCTGAGACTAGAGGATGCTCACGTCTCCTCTGTCATTGTTGCTGTCCCCATTCTATAGATAGCTGGGACACACAGGCCTAACGTGGGCCTGGCTCCTCCTGGCTCGCCAGAAGGGATCCTAGCGCCAACCTGGTCTTCATTTTGCAGATGACCAAACAGATCAGCAAGATTAAAAGCCTTGTCCAAGGCCAGCCAGCCAACTAATGGCAGCAGAATCCCACGACAAGGATCTGGCCAAGGGTTTCCTGGTGGGCTCCACAGCATCTCAGGGCTATGCTGGCCTTTTCTGTACCAGCCCCCCTCTCTCACTGGCCATATATAGCTCCAGCATTTCTGGAAAGGGACATCTTGAAGAGTAGAGGGTGAGTTTCCAGGGACAAACTGCTCCGTTGCTGGGCCCGGGACAGCATTTCCCCATCCCCTCCCCTGTCCCATCTCTGCTCCTGCCTGGCTCCTGTGCTTGGCTGAGAGTTAAGTGTCACAGCAGGGTGACTGGAGGACAGAGGTCTCCGGATCGCCTCCTCCACGCGGCCTTCAAAATTCTCACTGAAGTCACTAGAGTGTAAAAGTGCTTAATGTGATAATGCATGGTATTTGCCATGCGCTGATAATTTTGGAATTATGCGTTGGGGTTGCAGAGATGCACACCCCCGGCCCACAGGATGCAGGTCCATAGGTGACTCACAGCCTGATTCCTGAGACATGTTGCGGACAGCTCTGAACAAGGAAGCTGGTGTGAGGCTCCCATAGAGGGGAGGAGTTTGAGAAAAGATACCACATTTGGTTGAATAACAAAAGAAGGGAGTTGAGGGAAATTGGAAGGGGAGGTGAACCATGAGAGACTATGGACTCTGAAAAACAATCTGAGGGTTTTGAAGGGGCGGGGGGTGGGAGGTTGGGGGAACCAGGTGGTGGGTATTGGAGAGGGCACGGATTGCATGGAGCCTGGGTGTGGTACAAAAACAATGAATACTGTTATGCTGAAAAGAAATAAAAAATTAAAAAAGCTTTCAGAAGAATGCAGCAATTCAGTCAACCCTTTAAATGGGCTTAAAAATCCCTCTATATAAATTTATATTTTGAATTACAAAGGCAATACTTAGGGCAAGATGGGACGCTCACCCTATAAAACCGTTTTGAAGATTTTATTTTATTTTATTTATTTGACAGAGATCACAAGTAGGCAGAGAAGCAGGCAGAGAAAGTGGAGGAAGCAGGCTCCCTGCTGAGCAGGACCCTGGGATCATGACCTGAGCTGAAGGCAGAGGCTTAACCCACTGAGCCACCCAGGAGCCCCTATAAAACCATTTTGAACAGAAAGGGAGAATGACCAGAGGGGCAGGGTTTTAGCAGGTGAGGATGAGGAGAAAAGGCCTTGTAAAGAGAGGAAGCAACACAGGCAAAGACAGGGCTCAGGGAGCTTTGGCGGGTGCTCTTCTCCAGTGACTGGTGGCCGTCTCTGTCTCTGTCTGCCTGGTGGCCACTGAGATCACAAAAAGGTGTGATGGCGTTCAGAGCCCTGTCGCTCACGGGCTGTGTGACCTCAAGCATGGTACTCAGCTTCTCTGAGCCTCCCTGAGGCTGACTTCAGAGAGGACCCTGAAGCCAGGGAGAGGCATTAGCGCAGCCTTGGAGGATTTGAACAGGTAGGGGACATGACTGGAACTTGGCAGCCAATTAGATGTCAGAGTCAAAAAGCAAGAGTGCAAACAGGGTTTTCACCTGGCTGGAGGCATCAGCTGTGGGTTTGAAGGGGAGGAAGGAGAGCTTAGTTTTGATGAGTTTGTGTCGCCCACAGGACATCTGAGAAACACCCTCAGCAAGCAGATGGGCCTGGGCCCCGAGTTCAAGAGGAAGGTAGGAGCACTTGACAGAAACGTGGGGACACCAGAGCCCACCACGGCAGTTTATGACAGTGGCCAAGGACAGGGAGAAAGGACAGACCTGAGGAAAGCCCCTCATATCTGGAGCCCGGGGTTGGGGGTGGAGACAGCCTTTGGTCGGGAGGAGGGGTCTGGTCACTGGGGAGGGCCTCACACTGAAGGAAATCCAGTCCTAGGGAGCAACGAGGCCCACCCACTCCCTTCACAGAAAGAGGCGGGTCACATGGGCTCAGCATCACAGAGCAGGAAAAGGCCATGCTGACCAGAAAGACCCCAGAACCCAGCACTTTCTACTCTCCACGGGCCCATGCATTCAGAGCCCTCAAGGTGAGCAGAACCATCCTTAGCGAGTTTTATCAATGCCGTGATTAAAATTCATGGACCGAAGCCTAGAATATCTTGATATTGGAGCATGTGGGGGTACTGACTAGAAATACATTTCATTTTCCTCACAAGTTTAAAAATACAATTAAAGACATTTGCCAGACTCTGTCAACTTGGCCACTTCCATTAATGTATGAATTGTCATTAACCCTTGAGTATGAATTTGCTTTCCAGATGGACTCCTCCAACCTGGTGAGGCTGTAAACCTTGAGCTGGAGGGGTCTCTGACTCAACCTTGGCACTTGGGGTTGGCCTTCTGCTCACCCTTTCCCTTCAAGGGTAGCAGACGGTACTAGGGGTGGAAAGAAAAGAAATATATATATATGTACTTCCTACAAGTTGAATACTCTTGAGAGGGCCAGGACTCAGACTACATGGAGTAGCAAAAGCTAATTGTCCCCAAATCTCAGAAGGGTTGTGTCAAAGAACCTTGTGTCCTTTGCTTGGCCCCAGTAAGGCTGGTTGGAAGGATCTGGTTTCCGTCTAACTGCCCTTGCTCCTGAAGCGATGTGTGAGCTCATTCCTCTTCCTTTCAGCTTTGTACAGACTTCTTTGGGGGATGAAGAAGAAGTATTGGAAATTCGGCCCTGATGGCTGCTGATGGGCCCTCGGGGGACAGTCCCTTCTCCCCTAGCTTCACAGTCCAGAAGGGCCCCCACAGGATTTTATGAGCTGGTACTGGAAGATTATAAAATTTGCTCCTTGCTGTCTCATTCAGGATTTTT